ATGGACGTGTCTGTGAACCACTTGTTGCAGACGCTGTCAAACAGCTTTTATCCCCTAAGAGAAGACACGCTAGTCCTATAATTCTTAAGAGTCTGTGTTTTCTCATCTGTAGTACTTGATTTTACTCTGAGATGGAATTCAACTTGGGTTTTGGTTTCTGAGTCTGGAGTCATGCACATGGTTCTCCCCTTCCCACCTTTATCAAAACTCCCTATCACCACAGGGAAAGAATTTACCAATTCCTCCTTTAAGAAAGTATCTTGGTGGCCAGGCCCAGTGGATCATGCCTGTAATCCCAGCACTTTGGGAGGCCGAGGCAGGTGGATCACCTGAAAGTCAGGAGTTCAAGACCAGCCTGGCCAACATGGAGAAACCCTCGTCTCTACTGAAAATACAAAAATTAGCCAGGGGTGGTGGCAGGCGCCTGTAATCCCAGCTACTCAGGAGACTGAGACAGGAGAATTGCTTGAACCTGGGAGGTGGAGGTTGCAGTGAGCCGAGATCATGCCATTGCACTCCAGCCTGGGCAACAAGAGCAAAACTTCATCACTCACACACACACACACACACACACAATGCCACACCCAGCCTGGGCAACAAGAGTAAAACTTCATCACCACCACACACACACACACACACACAGGCTGGCATGGTGGCTCACGCCTGTAATCCCAGCACTGAGAGGCCAAAGTGGGCCGATCACGAGGTCAGAGATTGAGACCATTCTACAATACAGTGAAACCCTGCCTTTACTAAAAATACAAAAACTTAGCTGGATGTGGTGGCACGCACCTGTAGTCCCAGCTAGCCAGGAGGCTGAGGTCAGAGAATTGCTTGAATCCAAGAGGCAGAGGTTGCGGTGAGCCAAGATCATGCCACTGTACTCCAGCCTGGGTGAGAGAGTGAAGCCCTGTGTCCAAAAAAAAAAAAAAAAAAAAAAAAGTATCCTAGCGGGGCGAGGTGGTTCATGCCTGTAATTCCAGCTGAAATGGGTGGATCGCTTGAGGTCAGGAGTTTGAGACCAGCCTGGCCAACATGGCAAAACCTTGTCTCTACCAAAAATACAAAAATTAGCTGGGCATGGTGGTAGGTGCCTGTAATTTGAGCTACTAGGGAGGGGATGCAGGAGAATCACTTGAACCCAGGAGGCAGAGGTTGCAGTAAGCTGGGATCATGCCACTACACTCCAGCCTGGGAGACAGAGCAAGACTCCGTCTCAAAAAAAAAAAAAAAGGATTCTACTTCTGGCCAGAGGCTCATCTGAGCAGAGATTTAATGCCACAGAATTTCAAGTAGGCAATTTGCATCTCTGAAAACCTTCAGACGAGAGAGAGAGAGAGAGAGAGAGAGAGAGAGAGAGGCCACCAATTCACTGGATTTCAGCCCAACACAAGAGTAATGTCTTTGGGGCTGTTTCTCTTTTTTCTTTTTTTTGAGACAGGGTCTCACTCTGTCACTGATGCTAGAGTGCAGTGGCCTGATCCTGGTTCCCTGCAGCCTTGACTTCTGGGCTCAAACGATCCTCTCACCTCAGCCTCCAGAGTAGCTGGGACTATAGGCATGCACCACCACACTTGGCTATTTTTTTCTATTTTTCTTTTTGAGACAGAATTTCACTTTGTTGCCCAGGCTGGAGTGCAGTGGTGCAATCTCCTCTCACTGCAAACTCCGCCTCCCTGGTTCAAGCGATTCTTCTGCCTCAGACTCCCGAGTAGCTGGGATTACAGGTGCCTACCACCAAGCCTGGCTAATTTTTGTATGTTTAGTAGAGATGGGGTTTCGCCATGTTGACCAGGCTGGTCTCGAACTCATGACCTCAAATGATCCACCCCCCCTGGGCCTCCCAAAGTGCTGGGCTTACAGGCATAAGCCACCACACTTGGCCTATTTTTTTTCTGTTTTTCACAGAGACAGGGTGTCTCTGTGTTGCTCTGGCTGCCCTCAAACTCCTGGCTTCAAGTGACTCTCCTACCTCTGCCTCTCAGTGTGCTTGGATCACAGGCATGAGCCACTGTGCCCTGCCTGGAGCATTTCTTCACATAAACAAATTAGCTGTTCTAAAAGCTATGCTAGGTGTTGGAGGACTTTTGAAACACAGCTTTATTGTGTATTTATTGCAAGGTTTTGATTGACTCGTTGCGAAACTGGTAGGATTTCCCTAACTGACTGCAAAATTCTGTGACTTTCACTTCTTTTTTTTTTTTTTGAGATGGAGTTTTGCTCCTGTTACCCAGGCTAGAGTGCTATGGCACGATCTCAGCTCACCACAACCTCTGCCTCTGGGGTTCAAGAGATTCTCCGGCCTCAGCCTCCTGAGTAGCTGGGATTACAGGCATGCACCACTACACCCGGCTAATCTGTATTTTTAGTAGAGACAGGGTTTCTCCACGTTGGCCAGGCTGGTCTTGAACTCCCAACCTCAGGTGATCTGTGCACCTCAGCCTCCCAAAGTGCTGGGATTACAGGCGTGAGCCACTGGGCCCGGCCGACTTTCACTTCTTTTAACTAGTACAGCGTAATCAATAGTTGAGAGACTGAATATTGAGGTCAGAAAAACTCAGAGCTCTGAAGCCATGGTTTCCTCATCTATTTTATTTTTTCATCTATAAAAATATCACGATAAAGTTGTAATAATTTTTTTTTTTTTTTTTTTTTTTTTTGAGACGGAGTCTTGCTCTGTCACCCAGGCTGGAGTGCAGTGGCGCCATCTCAGCTCACTGCAAGCTCCACCTCCCAGGTTCACACCATTCTCCTGCCTCAGCCTCCTGAGTAGCTGGGACTACAGGCACCCGCCACCGCGCCAGGCTAATTTTTTTGTATTTTTTAGTAGAGATGGGGTTTCACCGTGTTATCCAGGATGGTCTCAAGCTCCTGGCCTCATGATCTCCCACCTCAGCCTCCCAAAATCCTGGGATTACAGGCGTGAGCCCCCGCGCCCGGCAAGTTGTAATAATTATAATAGCAATTACAGAGCAATACTTTGTGCCAGTTTGCTGTTATGATATATATGTATATATAGTATGTATAAACCACATTGTATATATAAACCATCATCCTCATAGCCACCCTTTGGAGAAGGTACCATTGTTCCCATTTTATTTTTATTTTTTGTAGGTAGGATCTCTCTGTGTTGCTCAGGCTGGAGTATAGTGGTGCAGTCATAGCTCACTGTGGCCTGGAACTCTGTGGCTCAAGTGATCTTCCTGCCTCAGCTTCCAGAGTAGCTCGGACTACAGGCTTGTACCACTGCTTCCGGCTAACTTTTAAATTTTTAGTAGAGATGAAGTCTTGCTATGTTGCCCAGGCTGGTTTTGAACTCCTGGACTCAAGTGATTCTCTTGCCTCAGCCTCCCAAAGTGCTGGGATTACAGGCGTGAGCCACTGCGCCTGGCCCATTGTTCCCATTTTCTGCCGGGGACAAGGAGACACAGAGAAGTTAGGTAACTTGCCCAAGGTCACACAGCTAGTAGAAGGCAGAACACAAACAAACCCAGGATGTTTGAGCCTGTGCTTTAAAAATCCTAGTGCTAATTACCTGGCACAAGATAAGTGTTGATAAATCTTAGTTTCTTTTTATATCCTCCCTTTAACTTTCATGAAAAATGGTTATTACTTCTTCAAAGTATCTTAATACAAAATTTGAACCTTCCAACCCCCCTGCCTTTTCAGATGAGGAAACGGAACTCCAAAAAGCTCGAACCATGTGTTTTGTGTGACCAGATAGGACTAGATCCTAGCTCTCCTGCCTAACCTGGGAAGGAATAATGGTTCTCCATATTATTGTGTTCCATCTACTTCCTTCCTTAAGTATGGTTTTGTTGTTATTTTTGTACCATTTTTGAAAAGAAAGGAGACTAATTTCCTTCCTGAATCTCACTCTTATCTCCAACTTGTTTTCTGCAATTAAATAACACTCACCACGCTAACAGACGCGTAACTAAACGGAATGTGCTGCTTCTCTACCAGAGTGCACAAAGGGAGTGAGCAAGAGTTTATCACTGCCAAAGTGAGGAGAGGAAGACTAGTTGGCATTCATTTTTTTCTCTCTTTTCCATCTTCATCCCTTCCCTCCTTGTTTCTGGCTGCAGCTCTCTCTCCCCTTACCTGGATTAGGAGTATGGGACTGTTGCTGGTGTCACCCTAATAAAAATTCAAAGGTAGGCTAATAAGAGATACTGCCCAGAGATGGGTGGTAAGGTAGGGTGTCAGTAACTGCCGCCTGGTCTCTTTTTTTTGAGACAGAGCCTCACTCTGTCACTCAGGCTGGAGGGTAGTGGCACGATTAAGGCTCACTGCAGCCTCAACCTCCTGGGCTCAAGCAGTTCTTCTACCTCAGCCTCCCTAGTAGCTGGGACTATAGGCACATGCCATCATGCCCAGCTGATTTTTGATTTTCAGTAGAGATGGAGGTCTCACTATGTTGCCCAGGCTGATCTAAAACTCCTGGGTTCAAGTGATCCTCCCGTCTCAGCCTCCCAAAGTGTTGAGATTACAGGTGTGAAACACCATGCCCAGCTTTGCTGCCTAGTCTTTTCTTGCCCCTGAATGAAAACAGAGAAAGCCCCGAATTCCTGTCTTTATTGTGTCATTACCTCGATATATGCCTTTGCATAATTTAGTTAATCTGTACTAGTCATCCATAATTTTCTCACCTGTGTATGAAATACTATCTTTCCTATTAGCCTCTCTCAAAGAATTTTGGCTTGGCCATGAAAACATACAGTGACAATGAAAATGTTCAAGAGATAATGGTGTTTTGCTTTATTTTATTTGGCTTAAATAAAAATTCTCAGAACTATCACATATATGTCTATAGTTGCAAAACTGCAACATAGCTTTATTGTCTTTGAATAGCACTATTCTAAAAGGCCTCATGATTTTGGAACTCATAGCTAAATAATATATTTGATCATCCTGAAACATCTATTGCACAAAAATGAAAGGAAAACAGGATTACCACAGTAAAAAAACTACCGTTTTCAAAAGAAAAGAAAGAACGCTTGCTTCAACAGCACATATACTAAAATTGGAACCACACAGAGATGATTAGCATGGTCCCTCTGCATGGATTATGTACACATTTGTGAAGCATTCCAGCATTCCATATTAAAAAAAAAAGAAAGGTTTGAGGCGGCCATTAGAATAGAGTTCCCCTCTTTTTTAGGCTCCGGATGTTTTTTTTTTTTTTTTTTTTTTTAAAGGGAGTTTCGCTCTTGCTGCCCAGACTGGAATGCAATGGCGCGATCTCGGCTCACTGCAACCTCCACCTCCCAGGTTCAAGCGATTCTCCTGCCTCAGCCTCCTCCCGAGTAGCTAGAATTACAGGCATGTACTACCACGCCCAGCTAATTTTGTATTTTCAGTAGAGAAGGGGTTTCTCCATGTTGGTCAGCCTGGTCTTGAACTCCCGACCTCAGGTGATCCACCCACTTCAGCCTCCCAGAGTGCTGGGATTACAGGAGTGAGCCATTGTGCCTGACCAGGCTTAGGGTTTCTAAAGCAATACAACTTATGTATAATGTTAGTACTTTTTTGTTTTCTATTCACATTCCCCGAGCTTATAATCAAAACCAGAATTATTTTTATCTTGTTTTTTAAAACAAACTGGTGCTTGGACCATCCACTACATTGTAGCTTGTTGACTTCTATCATGGCCCTATCCGAAGTGGAGAGGCAGAGTGAGACAGTTCCTTCTTTTCTGGCTACATTCTTTTGACTGGTTCTTTGTAATGAGAACAATTGTCCCCTTTGTCATCCAGGGCATGAATAACAGGAAGTAACTGGGAGTGATCTGTGGATATCAGTATCCTGGCCTCCTTAGCGTTCACTTTATTTTTGGGTATAGAATTTTGACATTCTAATCCTGGAAAGCCAGAACTGATTCTTGGCCATCTTGGATTATTAACTATAGGCAAAACTGTGTTTTTTTATATTTTCTGTTTTTGGATTAGCTAGGTTCAAACAAAGTGTGGCTCACGTCCAGCCTTGTTATTGTTTAATACATGAAGAGTCCTAATATAAAATCGGTGGCAATCTAGCCAGGCATTTTTCTACCAAAAACCAGTAATTGCTAAGCATTCCTAACTGGGGAGTGGGGAACTTCTCACTACCTTATACCTCACCTCAATTAGCCAATTCCACGTTTTAGGGGCTGTTATTATTTATTTATTTATTTGAGACGGAGTTGCTCTGTTGCCCAGGCTGGAGTGCAGTGGTGCGATCTTAGCTCACTGCAACCTCCACTTCCTGGGTTCAAGCGATTCTCCTGCCTCAGCCTCCAGAGTAGCTGGGACTACAGGTGTGTGCCACCATGCCTGGCTAATTTTTTGTATTTTTAGTAGAAACAGGGTTTCACCAAGTTAGCCAGGATGGTCTCAATGCACTGACCTCGTGATCCACCTGCCTCGGCCTCCCAAAGTGCTGGGATTACAGGCGTGAGCCACTGTGCCTGGCCTCATTATTATTATTATATTATTGTGTGTGTGTGTGTGTGTGTGTGTGTGTGACGATGTCTTACTCTGTTACCCAGGCTGGAGTGCAGTACTGCAATCTCAGCTTACTGCAGCCTCTGCCTCCTGGGTTCAAGTGATTCTTGTGCCTCATCCTCCTGAATAGCTGAGACAACAGAGTACGCCACCACACCTGGCTAATTTTTGTTTTTTTCTTTTTGACACAGAGTCTTGCTCTGTCGCCCAGGCTGGAGTGCAATGGCGTGATCTCAACTCACTGCAGCCTCCACTTTCCGGGTTCATGCCATTCTCCTGCCTCAGCCTCCCAGGTAGCTGGGACTACAGGCATGTGCCACCATGCCCAACTAAATTTTTTTGCATTTTTAGTAGAGATGGGGTTTCACCATGCTGGCCAGGCTGGTCTCAAACTCTACTTCAAGTAATCTGCCCACCTCGGCCTCCCAAAGCATTGGGATTACAGACATGAGCCACTGCGCCAGCTGTATTGTTTGTTCTTTTTTTTTTTTTTTTTTTTTTTTTTTTGAGACGGAGTCTCGCTCTGTCGCCCAGGCTGGAGTGCAGTGGCCGGATCTCAGCTCACTGCAAGCTCCGCCTCCCGGGTTTACGCCATTCTCCTGCCTCAGCCTCCCGAGTAGCTGGGACTATAGAGACAGCGTTTCGCGGTGTTGGCCATTCTGGTCTCCAACTCCTGACCTCAGGTGATCCACCCGCCTTGGTCTTCCAAAGTGTTGGGATTACAGGCGTGAGTCACGGCACCCAGTATGACCTCTTTAAAGGCTCTGTCTCCAAGTGCACTCACATTGGGGGTTTGTGCCTCAACATATGAATTTTGAGGGGGCACAATCTAGTCTGTAATAGCACTATTTCTGATGCATTTGGATTCAGGACCTACATGAAATCATTGAGACTCTGTCCAATCCGTATCATGTTAAATAGGCTTTCATGTGCTTGCCTTTCACAACTCTAAATTATATTCTTATTATTTAATAACTCCAATGCAAAGAAAACATCTTTTTCTCAATGATTCTAGCAAAATCTTCCGCAGTTGCTCCTCCTTGGCCTGGGGAGGAACATGTGCATATCTTTGGAATAATCATTAGATCCAGGGAAATGGGATATGTTGATTGTTCGTTCCTGGGTCATATGTCCACTCCTGGACCTAGGATGGGGGTGAAGTGTTTCATTTGAAACACAGGGACTCCGCCCGGCGCGGTGGCTCATGCCTGTAATCCCAGCACTTTGGGAGAACGAGGCGGGCGGATCACGAGGTCAGGAGATGGAGATCCTCCTGGCTAACGCGATGAAACCCCGTCTCTACTAAAAAATACAAAAAACTAGTCGGGCGTTGTGGAGGGAGCCTGTAGTCCCAGCTACTCGGGAGGTTGAGGCAGGAGAATGGCATGAACCCGGGAGGTGGAGTTTGCAGTGAGCCGAGATCGCGCCACTGCACTCCAGCCTGGGTGACAGAGCAAGACTCCGTCTCAAAAAAAAAAAAAAAAAAGAAACACAGGGACTCAGAATAGGGAAGAGGGCGTTTCTCCAAAGGAAAATCAAGGTGTTGCTATCAAGAGAATGAGGAACAGATGATGGCAGACAAAATGCAGTAAATACTACTTCGTGATGTCTACATTTTCTTCTAATGCCAATATATTATGCTTTAATCTTGAGTCACTGGGTATCTTGAAGGATACTGGTTCATTGTTTTATAGGACAGTGCTGGCATTGTTTATACAATTCAGCATTCTTTCCATCATCTCTGGAAGAGTAAAAGAAATATGTTATTAATTTTGAAGAATCAAGTGTATGGAAGTACATTTCTCTACTAAAAATGCTAAATTGGACCCCCAAGGAACTATGCACCAGCCATCATCTTAAGGAGTACAAAGTTGAACTTCACTGCAAAGGATTGTTTTGAGAGGTTTGCTTTCTTTTCTTTTCTTTTTTCTTTCTTTGTTTTCTTTTTTTTTCTGAGATGGAGTCTCATTCTGTTGCCCAGGCTGGAGGGCAGTGGCGCAATCTTGGCTCACTGCAAGCTCCGCCTCCTGGGTTCACGCCATTCTCTTGCCTCAGCCTCCCAAGTAGCTGGGACTACAGGTGCCTGCCACCACGCCTGGCTAATTTTTTTTTGTATTTTTTAGTAGAGACGGGGATTCACCCTGTTAGCCAGGGTAGTCTCAATCTCCTGACCTCATGATCCGTCCGCCTTGGCCTCCCAAAGTGCTGGGATTACAGGCATGAGCCACCGCACCCGGCTGGATGATGCATTGTTAATATATTGTTTACCTCTGGAAATTAAGCCTAGAGGCTAGACCGGGTGCAGTGACTCATGCCTTTCATCCCAGCATTTAGGGAGGCAGAGGCAGGAGGAGAGCTTGTGCCCAGGAGTTTGAGAGCTGCCTGGGCAATACAGCAAGACCCCGTTCTCCACAAAAAGGGGGGAAAAAAAAAAGAAAAAAAGATTAGAGGTTAGGGTGCCTTGGAAAGTTGGAAGTACTATTTATTTATTTATTTATTTATTTATTTATTGAGACAGGGTCTCGCTCTGTCACCCAGGATGGAATGCAGTGGCATGATTTCAGCTCAGCTCACCCACCTCAGTCTCCTGAGTAGCTGGGACCACAGGCACACACCTCCACGCCCAGCTAAATTTTTATTTGTAGAGGTGGGATTTTGCCATGTGGCCCAGGCCAGTCTCCACCTCCTGGGCTCAAGCGATCTGCCTGCCTCAACCTCCCAAAGTGCTGCGTTTACTTATAGGCATGAGCCACGTGCCCAGCTGGAGGTATCTTTTACATTATAAAATAAACTTTCCATTTAAGCATAGTTTATACTGACTAAAGTACATACATTTTAAGTATATAGAGCAATGATTTTATGAATTTTGACAAGGGGAACACATTCTGACCAATCCCAAGTCAGGAAATAGAACATTAACAGAACCCCAAGCTCCCTTTGTGTTCCTGCCAATCACCACTTCCTCTTTCCCGAAAATAAACAACTATCCTGAATATTGACAGCATAGGTTAATTTGGCCTGTTTTGGAACTTAAAATGAACTTTATCCCTTGGACCTCACTTTTTCCACTCAACATTGTTTGTGAGAATCATCTATAATGTTGTGTATGCTCACATATTGCTGTATAGTTTTGCATTATAACCACATTTATATTTTCATTGTTTCCAGTTTTTAGTTTTTACAAACAATGCTCCTAGGAACAGTTTTTCATTATTTGACTTTATACATTATACTAAGGTTTTTTTAAAGTCACAAAGATGATTTAATTGAAAGAAAACCATCATTAATGAGGATTGCTCCATATCCTTAACAATTCTTAACTCTTTGACTACCCATTCTTCGTATTCTTTTCCAATTCCTTTCTCCCACTTCTCAAATGTGTTTACAACTTTAAGATTGAGTCTTAATCTCTGTTGCTTTTTTTCTTTACATTAGTTCCTTTACAGAGTTATTGCTGTGAGGACTTTCATGTTGCTTCTATATAAATGACTTAAATCAGTGTCCCTTCCCCAACCCCACTCTCACACTCATTTATTAGTCAGTCCTTAAGCCCTCCATTTCATTTCAGTCACCTTTTCCTATTTATTACACTAGTCTAGCACTAACCCTATGACTTTA